TAGATTCAAATCTGTATTTGTGAATTTATATTTCGCCTGCTTGTACCAATAACAACAAATAAAACACACTTTTACACACACTCACACACACAGATAATTTTAAAATATTGGGCAAGGTCTGCGTCCCTGATGCTAACGCAAAAAGAAATAACATGACATACCAACTATTTAATAAGTGCCGACAGAAAACATTTGGTGAACATGAGGTACCCTTGAGGAATGACGAACAAGTGATAGTGTCGTGGTGGGAGGACAGATGTGGAAAAGAATGCTTGTCATCTTTTCTGGGAGACTTATCTAGACAGAGAATTGATACCAACTACAATATATATATATATATATGTTATTCTTTTTTTTTTGAGACAGAGACTCTCTGTATAACAGTCCTGGCTGTCTTGTAACTCACTCTGTAGACCAGACTGCTCTTGAACTCACAAAGATCTGCCTGGCTGCTTCTGCCTCCTGAGTGCTGGGATTAAGGGTGTGCACCACTTCTGCCTTTATGTATATATATATATTTCCACAAGTTCATTGGTACCTGCAAACTTTTTTATTCATTTCTTTTATTTTTGGAGAATTTCATAGATGAGTACTATATCTACATAATTTTTACCCTCCTCTCTCCTGCTTCCAGATCCTTCTGTGTCTCCCCTTTCAAATTCATGATGATCTCTTCCCCTTTATTGTTGTTGCAGACATACACATGCACACACACAATGCACACATGCTCATGTGTATGTGTATGTGTGTGTATATATATACATACACACACACACACACACACACACATATATATATATATATATATACTGCTTAATCCATTTAGTAGTGTTCCTCATATGTTATATGCATTTAGGATTTAGTGTTTGCACTTAGCATTGGATAACCTATCCAGAGGCTTGTCTCTAAATAAAATTCGCTCTCCCTTTCTCAGTAGCCATTTATTGGCTATAATTCTTCATATAGAGGTGGAGCCTTGTAAAATTTCCTCCGTTCAAGCTGGCATGTCAACTGATGTTGTCATTATGCAAGTCTTGTTTAGACAACCATATTGTGGCGATTTCCAGGGTGCAGCTTCCCCATAAAGTCTAGAAAATTTTATCTCACAGCAGATGTCCTAGCATTTATCTAGCAGTCCTCTAGCTGCTAGAAGTTTCCGACTTCCTCTTCCACAATGTTCCTGGAGCCTGCTGTGTTAGGGCCTGTGTTGTGCCAATCTGGGGTATGCACTCCATGGTCACTTACCCTCTGCATTTTGACCATTTGTGGTTTTCTGTGATGGCTTCCCTGTGCTACAAAGAGAAGCTTCTTTGATGATGGGTGAGAGGTACACTTGTCTGTGGGTATAACTTCTCAAATATAATTACAAATTGCATCTGATGAATGTGTGCACTTTTTCTACCCCACTGATAAAATGAGAGCAATTTGTTTACCTGTGATGCTGAGATTTTTCACAATAAAATGTTGTTTATTATGACATTTCAGTTTTACCAAAAAATGTAGAAGTGGTTAATGAAATTTTTTTCACTATACAGAAATGGAAGTGCATAGCCTCCTTAGACACGAGCTATCCTTTTCCCGGTCAGAAAAACATTAAAATTTTGACCTATATAATATAAATAATATATACATTATTATATATCACAATATCAGCATATTTTCAAATTGAGAGAAAAATAATCTCATTTGAAAATACATTAAAATGAGAAATAGAGAATTATAGTAAAACATAAATTGTTAAGTCATTTCTTCAAAACTGTTTAAAGACCTTTGAGGATAAGATAAGGAACCTACCAAAGACAAGCAAAACCACTACTTAAAGGAGGTAAAGAAAGATTTTAATTGGTAATACACTACTGCAATAGAAGAAAGGCACAATCCTTAACTGATGACAACTTTGGTTTTTAGGAAAGTGACAATGGATTTTAAAGTGACAACAAAAGGATTTGGGAGGAGACAGTAGATGTAGACCAGAGTCATACAGCAGAAAGCAGAGTCCAGACCCTGTGACACTCCTCTGGATGTGCTAACCTTCATGCACACAGTCAAGTGGCCCCAGAGCGGGATTCAGAGACTATAGGTATCTTCAAGCATTAGGTAAAACAAACATTTTGGCAAATGGGAGTTTTCTCAGAAAGGCTTTTGTTCGGAGATGGAGTGGGAATCTGAGCAAACTGTGTAACTCTGGATGTGGCCTTGAGTTGTTAGAAAATATTGCCAGCTTTTATTCAAGTCTTTAGGGGCTGAGAAGGAGACATTCTGAAGAAGCATCACACATAGATTGCAGCAAAAACTCACTTCTCTAAAAGCATGGTCTCTACTCAGAAACAAGACAGTTTTTTTAAAAAAAATCAAGAAAAATAAATACCAGAAAAATGTAACCAAGCTAAAAAGAACTTTCTCAACTTCATTACCTAACTGTGACTTTTTTGAAATCTAACTTCAGTTTCACAATTTTTTAAATAATTTCTGAACTTTAAAACCATCCTCTCTTAGAAACAGAAATTTAAAATATCAATGACATCAAATGTGTTTCAGAGATTTAAGAAATTACAGAATTGTAATATGAGGAGTTGATAGATTCAAATGACTAGATTGACTGATGAAGAAGACTACAGAAGAAGCCAGGTGATGGTGGTGTACACCTTTAATCACAGCACTCCGGAGCAGAGGCAGGCATACCTCTGTGAGTTTGAGGCCAGCCTGGTCTGATCTACAAGAGCTAGCTCCAGGACAAACTCTAAAAAACTACAGCAAAACCCTGTCTCGAAAAACAAAGAGAGAGAGAGAGAGAGAGAGAGAGAGAGAGAGAGAGAGAGAGAGA